GGCCGTGGAAGATTTTTAAAATCAAGAAGTTTGCTTGTACGAAGAAGTTGACTTGTATGAATTTGTTCACTTGTACGATCAAGTGGCTGACGCGCCTGATTCTCTTCACTTGCATTAATTTGCTTGTTAATTTCGGAACTGGATGCAAATTTTTTCCAAGCATTTAAAATTTCACATAAGTCTTCTGCTGATGGTCGTCTTGCTGGATCAGCATCCCAACATTTTTTTATCAATTCAGCTATCAAAGGGGGCAGATCTTGAATTTCTGGTCGCTTCCCGTTACAGATTTCAATTGCAAGTGCTTTACTTTCTTTCTCATTTTCACAATCAACATTGCTAAAAGGAGAAGCGCCAGAAAATACTTCGCACATAACCATTCCGAATGAATATATGTCTGCAGCTTTTGTATGTATCTTATCATGAAAAACCTCAGGCGCTACATAAGGAAGAACTCCGTATAGTTCAACATCTTTCGTCTTATAATTAGCTGGTTTGCATAAACCTAGATCTGTTATGTAAACCGTATCTTTATATTTAGAAAAAAGAATATTTCCAGGGTGAAAATCCCGATGAATTAATCCAGATTTATGAATTTTGTATAATCCGAGTGCGACATAATGTAAACGCTTGAACTTCTCTTTCCACGATACCTTGTGAATAGCCTTAGCATGATCAACAAATTTAATAACGATCATAAGGTTTGATTTGTTGTCTTTGGTGATTCCATAGCATCTGGTAATTTGTGACCTATCACCGTTTAATTTATGAAAACTCTTTACCTATATTAAAAGTTAAATTTATTTATCAGCAAAGTAATTTATAAATAATCCCATTAATAAATATTTAATCTTATAACGCGATACGAAAGTGATTAATATTTCATTGCATTAATAATATAATTATTACCTCCGCTAAATATTCTTTAAATATCTCTTGAGAGTTTTTTAAGCATTTTAGCGCTACCTTTACTTCCCCGGATCTCTTCCATTGATTATATTTGCTCCAATAAAAGATGGGTCCTTCCTCCCAATCAGCCAAATAAACTTCCGCAAAACCACCTTCACCAATTTTTTCGATATTTTCAAATTTTTCGTATGGAATCCATTCAAGAGCCTTGAATCTA